ACTAGATAATTATTGTAGTCTCCGATGAGAGTTAAGCCTGTGAAACGGTCCAAATGGACATATTGCCCGCAAATAAACGAACTCCGAAAAGAACAGGGAATTGTTTACTTGTTTATTTAAGATTCTTCTGCTTATCTTTCTCATTAGTTTTCTCTTTCCTGTATATGCTTGGAGGCTTTATCTTATAAGAAGAATGAAGGAACTTGCATAGAAATGTGTATATCTACGGTATAGTAAGGGGTACTGGGCTAACAATTAGTATTTACAAATAGTGGAATAAAGCTAGCATTTTTCCTTTTCTCTTTAACCAAGGGTCTTCTGCTTTTTTGTGTTAGATTTACTTGGATTATGATCGGATGCTTAGATGATATGTAACTCTTATTGGATTTCCTCTTTCATTATCATAGAGAAATGTATAGGTCAAATTGTTTGCCAAAAGGGAATTTTGTCTTGTTTTTGTATCTTTGAAAGCTGAAGAATTCAGTTATGGTTGTTTCCTTATTCTATTTTACTGTGTTGTCTTGGATCTCCATGTTAGATGTCGATGATAGCAAAGAAAAGGATCAGAGTTGGGAGTGTACCGCAGGCGGATGACATTGTAAATGATGGAGAGACACCCGATTTTTCTAATCAAGCAAGGCTTAGTTTGGCCCTGAAGCCGAACAAACGTGGCAAACAGGTTCATGTAAGTAAATTGAAGGACATTGGGTCGAATGTAATATCAACAAGAAAGTTGGGAATTCAATCTCCTTCAATTCGAGGTGGAATTAAAAGGAAGTACCTTGAAATAGATGGTTCTATGCGAGAGCTTTCTTGTAAGGAACATGTAGCTCAATTTGGTAGTATTTCAAGGACAGCTAATCGTGCTAGAATGGGTCCAAGAAGCAGTGACGGTGGTATGGAAATAGCTGAGCGCAGAAATCCTACCCAGAGAGATATAGAAGCTGCACTAGCTTTGATGCAATTATCAAATGATATTTCAGGATTTCTCAAGACTAAGATGCAATCACCATCATCAACGGAAGACTGCCTTATTCAGCGAAACCAAAACATAAGGAAAGCTGGCAGTGGTTCTACTTGGCCGCAGGCGGAGTGTATGAACGATGATGCTGTTGAGCAGCATAATCTGTACAAGAGATATCAGAAATTTGGGACTACAGAAGTAAGCTTACTGAAGCTGGAAAAGGCAGCAGACAGAACACACATGGGTACGAAAGTTGAACATGATTACCATCGCATCAAGCCTGAAAAGGACCTGGAAGAAGGTGAACTGCCCATTTCTTCTTTGAAGAGAAAGAAACTGCCTAAATCTTCTTTGGAGAAATGTGGTTTAAAGAAAGTGAAAGCTGAGCGAGGTCTGCTTGAAGGGTCAACAGCTTGTTCATCCTTTGCTGTATCAGAGGTTGGGAACATTACAGTTCCAGAGCCAAAACCATTTAAGAAGCTGCAATTCAATTCAATATGTCCCACTGCTCATAAGGGGTTCTCATTCTCTATTATTCATTTTCTTTCTGCCATTCGCATAGCAATGATTACTCCAGTTTCAAAAGGTGATCCTTTAGCATTTAGCAAGTATCCTGCTAAAAGCAATCCTAAAAGTGTTAAAAGGTCTCATGACAGGAAGGAAATGAGTAATTCACAAGGAGAGCAGATCAATTTACCTTGTCTCACTATGCATGAAATTGTTGAGCGTGTGAGATGGAATCCTGGGGATCCTTGTATTCTTGAAGCCCAGGAGCCACTTCAGGATTTAGTTAGAGGTGCTCTAAAATTATTTTCTTCAACAACAGCACCTCCTGGTGCAAAGGCCTGGAAGGCTCTCACTCTCTATTCCAAGTCGAACAAGAGTTGGTCCTGGATTGGTCCAGTAGATATTAAGGCACACAACAATATGAAGGAACCTGTATCTTCAGAAGCTTGGGGTCTTCCACACAGTACCCTTCTGAAATTGACCAATTCCTTTGCAGATTGGTTGAAAATGGCTCAAGAGAGTCTCCAGAAGATTAGAAACCTTCCTGCACCACCCTTGACTTTGATGCATCAGACTGTCAACATGAAGGAAAGATTAAGAGAGGTTAGACCTAGAAAGATCGTGGCTACTATCAGTCGATGCCCTGAGGAAATAAGGGACTATTTTCGCAAGGAAGAAGCTGTTAGGTATTCTGTTCCAGAGAGGGCCTTTTCTTATACTGCATTAGATGGTAGAAAATCCACCGTTGCTCCACTGAGAAGGTGCAGTGGCAAGCC